GCTAGGGGCATCTGGGGCTCTAGAAGGAAGAGCTGAGTTCAAGGCCTCCACTGTCTCGACAGAGGCTGCTGAATCAAGCTCCTCAATTAAACTGGCTGGTATTGCTAATACCACATTCAGCGTGCATGAGGTGTCCAAGAAGCTGAGTGGGAAAATGGCCTTTGTGGCGAATCACAAAAGGCTAGCTCTGTCAGCATGCGTTGGTATGCCATGGTCTGCCCTTACTACAACAAAGGTTGGAGAGTACTTTGACGAAGAACTTGGCATGGGATGGCCCGCTGAAGTCGGAGGAAAGGGAATGTATATGCTCTGGGGAGGAGGCACATATCCTTATTCCTTTGACATGGAGAGAAGTGTAGCTGAATGCTCCGATTCGATAGTCTCTGGAAAACAGAGATACAGTGCTGTCGTCATGGTTAATCATGATATCAAGTGGGACAATCTAAAATGTACGAAATATATGCTTCATCCTTAACGAAAGAGACGAAAGATGTGTCCACTGTTGGTGAAGCATCTGGAGCCTCGCGAGTGTCGGTAAGGTTGTCTGTGCGTCTCTTTGGTTCTTACATTGAGGTTATTTTAGGCAGGTGGTCGGCACTGAGCAAGAACCACCTGGAGGCGACGACGAAGAGGACGACGGTGGGTGGTTGGGGAGAGTGAAAGATCACCTGAGAAAGATTTGGAGTGAGCTTTAGCTGCCCTTGAATTTCGGTTGTTTTGTAATGGCTCCAAGAACTTTTGTACCTTTCTTTGCAAAAGCTTGAAACGCGTGTCGAGGACACACCTATACCAGAGAAAAGCTTTCGTCAAAGAACGCTGCATGCCTCTCTTGTCACACAGCTTTGACTGTCGGAAAGTCTCGACTTCTCCTTCCAGATAGCGTTGCCTCAAGAGGTTGAGCCCCTCGATGCCGCATACCCCAAACACTTCGAAGTCGGACTGTACGTGCTGAACCATCATCTCCCCCAGGCCCGCCGAGAGCAGACGATCCTCTACTTCCTGTTCACTGGCTTCAGCGATCGCAATGAGAATGTCCATCGCACTGCTTCCCACAAAGTTCCGTGCAGTCTTTGAAGAAGGATCCAGCAGTTTAACCAGGCCACCGCACCGACGCCAAGACCTTCACCACCATCTTGCTGGCCTGCTCGAGCTTGAAACATCCACAGTTGCGTCCACGAGAGCGACGCACAGCAGCTCCAGCATCCGGTGGAATATTGCCACCGCCTCTGCCGCGCAGCCGTGCCTGCCCGAGGTGGCGGTACTCATCAGGTGGCACGGCGTCGCTGATGTGAAAGCGCTTGCAGCCACGGCGGCATGACCGCCAAGGCCGTGGAGTTCTTCGTCCCGATGATCCACGGCTACCAAGTTGGCGACCACTGCTCTTTCATGGCGAATCTCCTCGGACGGAAGGATTCATTTGCAAGATGCCGTTTCAAGCTGCAGCATCGGTGTGGATGACGCTGCTGGGAGCTTGTAGAACTCGAACAAAGGAGGCCAGTGACCAGGTATCCGATATCAACCCCGAGCACGCACAGAGTTATATAGTGCTCTCCAATGTCTACGAAACAAGACCGTTCGCGAACGAGTTGCTTAGCTCAGTGAGAAACTATAAGAAGTACCTGTCATGAGTTTTGGTTACTGTGGAGCGTCATAGGCTCGTTTTGCATCTTCAAGATGCCCATTGCGGGCATATGCACTGAGCAGATTCATCCAGAGGAGTGTTTCATCTTGAAACGGATCTGATTGTCTTGAGGTCCCGAATCTAAAAGCATCGGAGAAAAGGGCAGGAATTTAGAGAGGAGGAACGAAGGTTAGGTTATCGTTCCGAAATGAGGCTTTTAGGGCAACGACCAGTGGATAGTCATGAACGAGCAGCGGAGATTGCTGTACAATCGCTCAACATACTCAAAGGCATGTCGGTCAAGGCGCCAGATCCTGGGCGGCTGGATGAGTGCCTCACATGTTTGGCGTTTAGTTCATGGCAAGGGATGTCGAAGCAGGAAATCTTGGGCACGCTGCTGCGTTTAGGGGTAACAGTCGATTACTTAGCTTCGAAGCACAGGGTTCTTCTGAGCAGGCTGACTGAAAGGCCAGTGGAGAAGCCGCTCCCCTCAGTCGATGATCACAAGCCACGCCGCAGCTTGCAGCAAGCTAAGCAGGAGAAGCAGCAGCTGCTGAGTTTCTACAAGCTGCTGGATGCATGGAAGCCCAGGCAGCCAGTGCCGTGGCCTGCTGTTGGAGAGGAGCAGTGGCAATGACTTCTTCATCTTCAACAATCTGTTCATGAGCTGCTCGATGAGGGGATTCCAGATGCTGGCGATCCAACTGACAATGAATAGTCAGTACCTAGATGCGCTCAAGAGAAAGGCGAGCAGTAGCAGCGGCAGCCTGGCCTTACTCCTCGAGTTCTTGTCGCGCTTCCTTGAGCTCATGTTGGGAGGAATCCTGTTACGGATGAGGGACCTGCGCCTCGTGTTCATACACTGGTGCGCCGTGTTGCTGGAGGAAGTGGAGGTTGCCGAGTCCAACATTTGCTGGAAGCACCTCATCGAGCTCTCCACCACGCTTCTCAGCGAGGACGAGGAGAAGCTGTTGCAGCTCCTCTGCAAAACCTGCCACCCCACCAATCACCTCCTCCAGGGCATGCGGGTTGCTAGGAAGAACACCAACGCAGAAATTAGATCACACGGCCCGAATATTGTGAATGTTTTGTATTAAATTTAACAATGCATTGGATTGTATTGAATTGTGTTACCAGGAGTCTGGATGATTTGTCTTTGGAGTAGTCACTTTAATAATAACCATCAATTGCATGGAAAATTCCTGACTCACATGGGTGTAATCTGCGCTCAATTGGGCAACATCCTCCACAAACCTAATGACATTTTACCTGCAAAAATCCACCCAGCAGGTACTTTACATATGAATTAGGAAAGACTAACCTCACTAGTGTGGCAAGGGAATAGGGAATAGAAAACATTGGGTAGAATTTATTATAGGAGATGGCCATCTTGGTATGGCTATGATGCTATATATTAATATTAAATTAGTTTTAATTTAGACACTTGCTCCTTGTATATAAACTAGGTTTTTGGGTTTATTGAAATGCCCATTTCTATATTCAATTTCCATATTTTATGCACTCATATTATAGAGGTGAGGGGTAATTTTGATTATCCTTAAGGAGTGCTTGGATTTGGGATTTTGGTTTAGATTTAAATTTTGCATTGTCTAAAACTCTTTTTCCTTATAATTTTTTAAATTTTTTCTCTTTTCCTTTTTCCTTTTCATTCATTTTCATAGTAGAGTAACAACTTCCTCCTCTTTTAACTTTGGAGTAATAATTGGTGTAATTGCTCAATGTTATGTGGTTGTAATTGAACAATCAGACTTAAATGATAGTGCCATTCATGACATATGATATAGTTCCTTCTACTCTTGTTGCCAATCCTCGTGTCTGGTTGAAGTTCTTCTATGAGAATCTTAAAAATAATATGTACAATTAGTTCAATCAATTTACAATGATTATCACATATCATTTTTTGGATGATACTTAGTGTTTGTGAGAGTTCCCCATATATTTCTAAAGGACAACACTGTAGTGGTACAATAGTTTAAATGCAATCACTTATGCAGATTGGAGCATTCTCCCAGATATTTTCAAATGCACATTTAGACATATCAAGGATTGTGTTAATGTCTTTTAATAATTATATCATTTTTATTAAAAGCTATTTGAGTTAATGATGCAATTTGGTGTTTGTTTCTGAAGCTTTTTGCTTTATGTAGAGCTAAATATATTAGAGTGGATCAAATTAGGAATATTATGGCGAATATTTTATCAAAATCTTGTAAAACTTATGTATGTATTTATTCTAGCCACTTTTGATAATATATGAGATGTTACCTCTTCCACTTTTCAATGTATGTCCTTCAGTTCCATTTCATATGGGAGATGGTCCTGTTCCAATGGAGGTTCTAATGGACATGGTTGTGGCTTTGATATCCACTATTAGGCATGTAATGAAGTTGATCATACTTATCATGTGTAGTGCATATAATCATGGGATAAAATTTAGATATACTGTCACCGTGAATCTTTGGAACTTTGGGGGATAAATGGGGATAAAATAGCCACTAAGGGCTCTCTCATCAAGCAATTACCCCTTTTTCAGTTGACTTAAGAGGAGAGAAATAAGGTGTGTTACAATTGGTATCGGAGCAAATGACACAGGTTTGATTCCCATTAATTAGTGGCTACTTAAAAATATAATATACCCTTGAGTAAGGTATATTCCTACCCCTAAATTTGAAATTGGGCATCCATGCGTACATCCTTCCTCCTGTGTGGAGTATCCACAGACGAAGGTATCCACCATGGGACCACAGTACAGGTGGATAACTAATTGCCTTACATGGAATAGGTAATCCATACAATGGAAAGATTGGTAAATTTAGTGCAGAAATGGAAGTGTTAGTTCCTCTTAGCTCAGTAGGGGTTGTTAGTCAATAGTTAATAAGGACATTAACATTTCTGAAGGGGGAGTGAGTGTAGTGCATGTGATCATGGGATAAGATTTAGATATACTATCACTGTGGATTCTTGGAACTTTAGGAGATAAATAAAGATAAAATAGCCACTAAGGGCTCTCTTATCAAGCAATTGCCCTTTTTCCAGTTGCACAAAATAGAACTTAAACTTTTCATGTGCCACATATTATATACCACGTGTTTAAAGACAGTGGAACGAAACCCAAGTTTTAAAACCTTAAGCCACTAAATGAAAGAATAGAGCCAAATTCCAAAACTTACATTTAAGGAGCCAAAGAATTGGAATACAAAACAACTCCTCAAATATTTAACCCAAGGAACAAAGAAATAAAAATATAAAATGACATTGAAACAGTCTTAAAGCTTGTAGCATCCCAATGCCAGAATCAACACATAAAATGGAGCCAAATAGAATATAATGTTATTTCAGCATACCGGTGAAAGATAAGTGATAAATAGTTAATTATTTATTGATGGCAAACATATATGAATAAGAGTCAATAAGAATGATTTACTTTGGTATGCTTATGTTTTGCCAAAGAAACCAAAGAGACCTTTGATAGCTTTGACAGCATTCTCATTGAATATAGGCTCGTCATACTTGTCAATCAACGCTTTAAATTCCGGTGATGCTCTCAAGCTTGCCAGATCTTCATCAGTTCTTATTTTCTGCAGGACATTTCTCTCTTTCAGAAAACTACCTGATTTTTCGTTTCTCACCTTATAATCCTCAAAACCAGCCTCCAGAGCCTCCCCCAGAGCTGAAAGCCCTGCTTCAACCTTGCCACAAAGAAACAGACCACTATTAGAGATCAATGAGAGCAACGAAAACATTTATCTGATGGTCACCTGGTCAAGTTTTGCGTAGCAGCACGCTACATTGTAGCTGGCGATTGCTTCTTCAAGCCCCTCGGGCTTGGATCCAAGTACAGACTCGAATTTTGACAGTGCTTCTTGATAGGCTGATTTTCTGGATAGAAATATTCAAGTTAACAACGTCGTGATTCAAATCGGTCGTACGTACTTGTAGAGTTGAAGGCCATCCCGAAGGTCCTCTTCTCTTTGCTTCTTGAGCTGCATTTTTCGATTTTAGTTTTGGATCTGGAATTTGTTGATAAGTTTCTAGATTCCGATGATGGGCAAAACTAAGAAATTTCACCTGGATTTCACGAAGCTGCTCACTGATGACATTCGCGTTTCTTTGCGCTGCGAGTTTCCCAGACGATACAGCCTGATCTTCTCTTTCTCCCTTCGAGATGAGAAAATCTCGGTAAGATACAGATGAGAAAAAAAAACAAGTCATGACCAACCGTATTTTTTTTGCATCTTCATGAGAAGAGGTCCAATTCTTTGACGAACAGTGTACATTGTGCGTCCATACTCTGCCGCTGGCCAGATCTCATTCCCAAAGACAGCACTAGCATTACAAAGAAAAAGATGGTAAAAACACGATGGCATTACCTTGTCGCAAGAACTTTGTCCCCTGGCTGGAACATCTTTGTTTTCGCTGCACTCCCGCCAGGAGCAAGAGCATCGATGTATGTTCCACTATCGGACCCTTTGTAGAATTTGATCCCATACGGCTTCTCAATCTCTACCTCATAGAATTCGTCGGGTTTGCTACCACTACTGCTACTTGTACTAGCGCTAGAATCCTTGGATTCCCCGGTGGTGACCGTCCCAATGCTAGATGAATCGGCACTACTGGCAGCTGCCAAGATCGATCCCGTGTTGCCGATTCTCTGCGGGAAGGTGAGCTTCCTCTCGAAATTCCTGGAGCTGGCTTGCCACCGCCGTGGCTGAAGAGGCAAATGCCACAAATGCTGCTGCTGCTGCTGCCACTGGCGATCTTACCAGGAATCCCAGTGGCGCCACCTTGATTGAGGATGGCGCCGCCGCTCCACAGCGCTGCCCCGGCCGCCATCGCCGCTCGGAGGATGAAGAAGCGGGAGGACATAAAAAATAAAAGAGCGCCATAGCTTCGTCCACGTGGCCACGTGGACGAAGCTACCACTGAAATTCCTTGGACTTATTCTAGAATATACCTTACGGCGGCATATTCGATTTGGCATATTCGCTTCTAACATAATGTTTATAGATAGTAAATTTTCTTAAGTTGTTTTATATCTGTGTTAAACAAATGCCCTTTCTCATTTTTTAAATAAACTAGATATAAAACTCTTTTTAAGAGGTAAACTTATATGACCTTTTTGAAAGCCATTATGAGTTCTTGGGATATAGGTATATTAATTGGGGTTTGACCTTACAAAACCGTTTTACTTTATCAACTAAAAAATAATTCTTCTTTTTTTCCATTATATATTTTTTCCATTTTGGAGTCATTACCAACAATCAAAATTTGAATTAAATATATTGGTTTCTACCATTCTTTTCTCCTTTGCTCAATTGAGCTTGCATGCCATTACAGCCAGCATGGCTAGAGCCAACACTAGTATGCAGCTAAGGCCATGCACTTTGCCATGACAAGTACCATAGCCAACATGAGCCAATTCTAGGGCATGGGCCAATGCCAATATGCTGTCCAGTTCCCATCCAACTGATTTCATTGTAAAACTTTGATAAGATATAAAAGACAAAAAACTATGATTTTATAAAATATTTATAAGTGCCTAGACCATGCTATAAAGCCATGCATTTAAACAGGTGGTTCCATTGTTTTCCTAAGGTTTTCTACCTTGGTTAATAATCTCTAAAATTTAAGAAACCAGGGTTAATCTGACTCTGAATCTTCTTTTGTAAATATGTATGACCAACTTCTTTTTGTCCAAATTTTTGTTCAAAGGTAGCAACTCTAACATAAACCCCCCACCCCAACGGTTTCTCTTAATTATTTTCAAAGGCCTCTCCTTTGGAGGGCTTCCTACTCTTCTTATTTGCTTAGTTTTAATTATGGCAAAGTTGAATATGAACAAAAGAAAATAGAAAAGGAGGTCTTAAGTGTAATTCCATTTTGTTTAAGCTTTTTTCTTTTGTTCTGCCTAAGATATAAAAACATTTACCTTTTCATCATTCCCAGCTATTGCCTGTCCTCAAGCAGTCGAATTCTCTAAATCCTGCTCTAGATTGCTGAGCTTGGTCTTCATAGTGACAAGCTCGACGCTTCAGCATAGATTGTCAAGTTTTTGACATATCATCTAATTCTTCTAGTCAAGCATGGCGATGTGCTAATCCTGGCGGGTGATACACTCTACATCAGTGGATGTGAAAGTCAAGATTGTGCTTTTGAGTTTTTTGGATTATATGGTGTTGATGATTTTGCTCACCCATGACTCAATCCACTTTCTTGGTAATTGTCTTGAGGTAGCTCAAGACTTGCACTTAGTACTTTGTAGTTTCCTCATCTTCTATCGGTTGCATTGGCTTGTCAACTGGCTGCTTGCCTCCCTTGATGTGTTGAGCAAGTTCCTCCATGAAGCTTCGGACTGCTAGCTGGCTAGGTTGATTCGCGGACTTGTGCACAAAGGCGCAACTAGCTTTGACTTTATAGTGCTGCTGTAGTGTCTACTACTGCTGTGGTTGCCTCATTTTGCTAGACTTATCAGTCAAGGGTGTGTCGTTATCAAATGGATAGGTGGATTGGAGAAACTTTAACCCATACTCCTTTAGTTCACATAGACCCTCTTTTGTAGCCTTATCGTCTTTGTCCTATTGAGTTTTTTGGCCATGATTTTCTTGGCCTAAACTCACCTCATTGGATATATCTACAGCCAATGGTTTTGCAACATCTATAGGCACATTATGTGTTGAATTTTGTGGCTTAAATTTTGGAATTTCTTCCACAACTTCGACATTCATCATTTGCCTAGTGTTATCCATTTGTGTATTCATCACTTCTTCGATGCTCAAAGAGATTTGTCTAGGCATCAGAATTGTCTTTGTAGACATAGACAAATTACAATTTTGTTCTTGATCTGGGCATAGCATTTTATCACCATACTTATTGTGTTTAGCTTTTCTACAGCATACTTAGCCACTGGATTTCTAGAGGTCTCACAGTTTGGATTTTTGGATTTAGGTAAAATTTCTTTTTAAGGGGAGAATTTTCCTCGCTTGAATCTGTATTCTCCTCCACTTCCACATCCCTCTCTATTTCCCTCAGAAGAGATACTAAAGGTGGTGGCTCAATAACAAGGTGAGGCGCAAGATCCTCCTAAGTAGTTGTAGCGCACGTGGTTTTGACCCTTTATCCTATGGTGATTTACCATAGGATAACACCACGAAGCGGAACCTAAACCCTCTTTGTGCCACGTGACAGATGCCACGTGTCACATGCCACGTGTCCATGCCACGTGTCCACAGGAACCCGAGGTTCAGGGCCTTGGGCCACTGAACGAAGGAACGGTGCCAAACTCCTAAGCGTGACGCCAAGGAGTGATGGAACCGGACCACGGAGCAACTCCCGAGCATACAGCCCAAGGAGCGAAGGGACAGGGGCCTGGAGCGACTTGGAATAGTCCTAGAGCAACCAGCATCCCAATGCCAGGACCAGCACGCAAAACGGAGCCAAACGGAGTCTGGCGCTATTTCGGCATACCGGTGGCCTAACGTGAGAGTATGGGTACTCCACCAGCTAGCATGGAATGGAACTTGGGCTTAGACCCAAGCCGGACGCAGAACAAGGACAGGCACGCAAGCGGGAGCTAGACTATGCCTCAGGTTGGTCGGCCATGCCCGACCTACCCCCTATCCCTACTATACATTTGGAACCCCCCATAGCCCCCCCCCCTTGAGGAACACACGCTTTGGGCTTTCACCCCAAGCCTCCCTTAGTATCTGGAGTTAGTCTCTGGGACAAGCTCGAAACTTACTAATTATGGAATGTCCCTAGATTGCGAATTTGGACACGGGACGAACACCATTGTGTTCAGGACGATCTCTACATTCCGTAGATATGCCAAATGAGCAAATCTGGACACTTTCCATAAATAGCATTTGGGACGAATTAAGACTAACATAAAGGGCATGATAGCGAGGGTGTTTGGCAGACACGGTAAGCTATCATCTAGCGATGTTGAGGGACCAATCTCAATATCGCGGGGGTTCTTGATACTAGCAAGTGCAAGCCAATGACTCAAGTTTCTCAAACCAGGCCGAGTATGCTCAGCAAGAAACACATAGGGTTCCTACCTTATGTTTATCCAATCTAAGTGCATGGTCATTGACCAGTTTCTCAACTAGCTCAAGTGGGAAACTGATAACGGGTCCAGCAATACCGACCTCCTGCCGTCGTGGCAGTAAGGTAAGAGTGTCCGTAAGGACTAGCCGACAGGTAACTTTCGATACCCGAAGTCACATGCGCGACACTCGCCCCCCCTTGGGAAGATCGACGTCCTCGTCGATGCATACTCCAGTCTAGAATACCGCCAAGGAAACAACTCCATAAAAAGTTCACGGTACTCACACTATGTGAGAAATGCACCAACTTAAATGAGTTAGGGGGTAACCTCTTTGTCTAACGCGGATGCGCTACCAGCTCAGACACCTTCCGGCCGTCGCCGACAAGGAAATGACCAACGGAGTCAACCACCCCTGCTGCTCTGGGAGTCACCCAGCTTACAAAAGTGTGATACGCCCCTGCCCGCAGGGACATAGAGAGAGAAGCCAGAGGCCCCAACCCTCCTAAGCAAATAAACCAAACACGTCGGTAAGGTTTAGATAGACTACTGTAAACAGGCAGTTAGAGTTGTTTACACGGTCACGCCCTTTCACAGAACAAGGAACATCGACAGAGAGGCGGGTTATGTGACCAGTCGACAGTAGCTACCCCATGACTAGAGATTTCACCATGCACACGAAGTGCCGAAGCCAGTCTGCCTATACTGGCCCAAACTCAAAGATCAATATATATGGACATATCAAAGTCATAGACAATGATATCTTAGAGATTTAATTATCAGTGAATAAAGCTTAGATTAGAACACAAAAGTATTCCAAGTAAGTTATCATCCGATAAACTAGTATTACAGTATAGGAACCACCAAGATCATTATAATTGGTAAACATAGGAATCACCATCCAACAAAATTCAATAGCAAGTAGATCATCAAGGAAACGCAATGATGAAACTTAACTATCGAAGATAGTAGACAGTAAGCCAACAACTTACTAGAGAGAACTCAAAGAACACAAAGTATCATTGACTAACAAGCACAATGCTCGCGAATGTATCACCCAAAGGAAATAACATCCAAATCTATCAAAACTAACTCGAGCAACAATCAACAGAACAAAATGAATGTTGCAAAGCAAACAAACGCTTGTTCATATTAACCATTACACTAGCCAATCCGAATAGATCCCAGCCAACAACACGAAGGAACTCAAGTTGCCTAAGCAAGTGTTAGCAACATCCTACGGATGTCTCAAACCCAAGAGACCAATCCAGAGCAAACCACAAAGAATATGTGGTATTGTGAAAAGCCATAAGCCATCAAAAAAGAACAACTAACCATCATGAAAGATCATCAATCATCCCATCAATAAAGAGATGCAAAATCATCGTCTAAGAAGGAATCCACCATCCCGAAGAATA